TGACTGGTTGTAGCAAATGAATTTTCAGAAAGACTTTCGGTTGATGAAAACAGTTTCATATCATATCTAAATAATACGAAATCAACTTACCAAATAAAAGTGTTGCTCTTTCTCTATAAGGTTTACTGTACAATATACAGGTTCGTATCAGATGTTAAAGGTAATCTCCAACAGGCTGATCACTACAGTTAATGTTTGTCTCTTATATAATCTTTATTAAACTTTCTTCTAACACTTTCTATAATCTATCTCTTGTTTAGTTCCTAATCCTTTATCTTATATACTCGTCCTATTATTCACATCATGAACGTTAGTTTAAATTCACTTTAAATCCATTAATGAGTTACTCAATGCAAATTTGAGAATAAGCCTGTGATGAAACGCTCTCAGTGTTCCAGAGAAACCAAATTTGATCAAATTGTAATACTGCTATTAGTGCAAGACACTGTGTCCGACAAGATATCAGATTCTGCTCCTTACACTTTGACAGTTTTCGTAGGTCAGATACAGTTGACCTTATCTGATAATTCTAATTAATCCAGAATTTCTCATTCTGCTCCTGTCTAAATATGGCCCAATGGTAGTTCTCTATTATAAAATTTGTATACCAATTCTCTGCTCTTTTGAATAATTCTGAAACCTGTATTGATCTGAAAGGTATAAAGATGGTCTATGATCAATATTATAATATTTAAGATAAAGTAGATGATAAGCTTAGATTTCAGCGTATATCTGTTTTGGATGCTTCCTGGGTGGACTAATTTTCCTTCAAGAATTCGTGATATTTTAGTTCTAGGTGGGTTATTTAAGCTCAATTCTGGTTCCCAACTTGGGGTGTGGGACTGGGGTGTCAGGGGTATAACCTAGTGCTGAGGGAGAAGAATTTATCATTGGGGATTTATATTTTTCTAGATATCAATTGATAGACGTGTGACAGCCACTTCCATGGTCCAGAGTATAATATAGCTTAAAACCCCCTTTCCCAACCTGGGGTGTGGGACTATAGGGTGTCAGGGGTGTAGCCAACTGGTGTAGGAAAAGAATTTGTTTTGAATTCAGAGAGCACCTCACATCATCACATGCTAGAAAAATAGATGAAACAAATTTTTGGGGGTGAGGGGTCCAGGTGATTGCCCCAGGGGTGTGAAGGCTGAGAAAGGTTGGTAACCATTGGCTTAAATGAAAATCATAAATCATGTTGAATGTCCGTTGTTTGGGGGTGTGAGGGCCAAAATAGGTTGGGAATGACGTAACCACTTGTTTTAAAAATTTCCAATGTCAAATATTGGTTCGAAAGTACCAGCGCTTTTGTGAAACAAATCAGAAGGCTCTCGATCTTCCCTTTAAACACCCAGTAAAATATTTCTCTATATCAGGAGATATTTAATAAAGGTTTGTCTTATCAGTTATTTTATTGTTTATTTATTGACACAACCCTCGTTAGAGTTTCATGGTGAAATCTTTATCATTTTATTACTCCAAACTCGCCCTTAACAACACAGACTTAGTTAACTAACAAGTGTATATCAGATCAGGTCCGTAACTAAAGGGGGTAAGGATGGAAATTCTATTATGGTAACTATACACCATACAGCATTGCCCCTCTGGATACATTACTTGTCCCTCGAGATTGACGACGGGCCTGTGTCAGATATGATATTATCGTATATCAGGACAAAGGTTGGTTTGAAAATTAATTATAAATTTTTAACCATCTTATTAAAATTCATGTCTTAATGTTTCGTTTTGACGTTTTTTCTATGGGTGATACCGGAATTGTGGTAACCCAAAACAACGTAACGAATCTATATCATCTTCTTTTGAGTCCTTTTCTTAAATATTCGTCGAATAGGAAATGGAGATTTCAGTTTCTGTGACTAAATAAACTAATTCTGTATTTAGTTATCGATCTCTAGATCAAATATCAATCAATGAAATCAATCAATCAATCAAGATTAGCTGATATTTATTGATTTAATATTAATTTCATGTCAACCTGAACAAACAGTTCAGTTGCAAGGAACTTTTTTTCACATTTTTTTTTTATCTTTTGCTTATAAATGTACCAATAAAAAATATTATCTATGTGGACTCTCTGAAATAGATGCCGAGTAGTCAAACGAAGTCGGAGAATTAATGAAGTATCACACAAATGTGTTTTGACCAAATTTATAAAATCATGAGAAAAGACCGAGTCAAAACTGAGCAAATCATCAAAGTGATCATGATTGCCAGAAAACTGGGCTGGACTGAGATTTCAAGTGAACAAAGATTTGTTTCTGTTATGTTTTCAATGAGTATATGAATAATGAATGATTTTACTTCAATCATCATTCAATGAAGTCAACCAACCTGTAACATTTATAGACTCCTATAATATTATAACAAATTGAGCGGCAGATCTTTAATATCACGACTTTCTAAATCATTTGATTCTAAAGATATTGAATGAGTTTTTCATATGGAATAATCCAGACAAATTCAAATCTCTATTCAGAAAATAAAATAGGCGCATGATGTTTCAAAAGTTCGTATTCGCCATAACTTTGCCTTAAAGGTTTTCAGTTTTCCTTTAGTCCAATAGATCCATTTTCGGAAATAATCCGATGTTTTTTTTAAGATTGCGATTTAAAACAAATTCAAGTTTACAAAATCTGTTTTGATTTCCGAATTTGACCAAACTTTGATATTAAGTCATGGGATCATTGATATATTTTTTGGTTTTATATGAAAAGAAAATCTAGTCTTACCTTCAAGTCAGATGGACCAAGGTTCAGTCCGAAATATAAATGTGCTTGTTTTATGCTAACTCTTGTCTGGCGTTTGTCAGTGGTCCACTGTCAGCCGAATAGGTGATATTAGGATAACGTCGATCTTTAACGATTTTCTTGTGTGTGTCAGTTTACATTACACTGCGCATGTGTGAGATAATCCGGTGAAAATGGATTAAACGATAAAGTGGGTAAACTATCTAAATATATTACATGTATATTGATACCCCGGTTATTCTATGTAAGGGCTAGTATACCCTCAACAGAAAGGCTGTAAACATTATCGTTTTGTGTTCACAGACTTTCTGTCAAGGCCTCTGATTTGCTATTTTCACTAGCGTACAATCCAATCAAATCGCTTCATTTACATACTTCCAACTTAATCAAAGTCGGAGCTAATATGACTGTATTAGAAACTTGCAAAAAGTCTTTAACCAATCTAAATTAATAGAGTTTTACGTCCAATGCTCCTAATTTGACTATTCAGGACGAACAACACCTTAGCCTTTAGTACATCTTTCGCTGTTCTCGTGGTTAGTGGTATATTTACGAAGGCCCGTGGCCAGACTTGATTGTTCGGAGGTACAAGTAATATCAAGAAGGCCAATGGTGTATGGGTGACGGGGGCATTGTCCACTCTTGCCCTCCTGTAGCTATGGGCCTGATGAGGGCGAGGTCATCCTTGCCACTGCCTGAATCTAAGATCAGTTAGATTTTCAACGACTGCTTGTGACAACTTGGTGACAAATCTGTGGATTAAGTTGACCTGAGTGTATAGGTGACGGAAAAAATCGCGGTTGAAATCAGGCGCTTATGTTCTAAAATTGAATCTGGCGTGGACCTAGGTGGTGGTACCATAGGGACTGGTTGAAACAAGCCCCACTTGACTGAAAATCTTTAATTTTTTCACCAACATGTATTAAGTTGACTTACATTGGGGGCCCAACAAGTCCATTCATATACCGGACCATTGAATCGGCGGTATAGTATTTTATCAATTTCTGGATTCGATGATATTCTTCATCTGAATTCATCTCTCTATACGAAGTATTTTTGTGGCGATATTTGTGTTAATTTTATTTCAAATCTAATAAAAACGCTGTGACAACAAAAGGTGTCATTGTGCCAAGAATACAATCTGCTAGCTGAATGTACAAGATAATTTGGTCTGATGAAAAGATGTGTCTGTAAGGTCGTATCAAGGGTTAAGATGGATTTTAAGATTAATGTATAAACATGAAGCTAGGGTCAGAGACTGTGATATCACACTCTGTCCATTGTCCACGTCTAATCTCTAGATTTTTTATGGTATGACAGCTCTAAAACTCTCAAAGACTCTCCATCGCCAATTTTATGTTATGTTTAAACAGTAGCACATTCCTTCATAGTCTCGATTCTTTCTTAATTTGGCTTTATTCTGTGATGTTTCTGTATTCTTGTGAAAAATGCAGACAAACGCAAGAGAGAAGTCTAGGGAAATGTTCCGAAAATCAAGACATTCGAAGAGGCTTCTCATCTTTTCAACTGTGCGGACTGTGTCACGGAATAAAACTGAATTAAAGATGGGTTCCTTTATTTTCATTTATCAAAATGAAAATGCTAATACTTATATGTTCTAATGACTTGGAAAAATACCAGTATTTCTCACATGTCCATAATTAATTCATAATAAGCTAACTTAGAAGAGAATTACCAGCAGAATTCCAATGAGTTACCGATCAAGAAAGGTCAAAAGTCTTTTTTTGTTTATCCAGACTGTACATACATGGACATTTATGATTGGTTAACACTCTTATTTATATGCAATAAGAAAATAATGATATGATTCAGAATACATGATAATTCATAAGAAACACCAATTTATCAAATAGTTTGCTTAATTTGACACTAAAAAATAAGGAAACCCATATTTAAGAAAGAATCGCTACTATGAAGGAATATGCTACTGTTTAAACAAAACATAAAATTGACGGTGGAGAGAAAATAGAATCATAATATTGCTATTTGGTCATTGTAAATTATTGACAAATTGAGATCAAAAAAATCTTTCGTATTGAGATGATTTTTTTTAGAATCATCAACAAACCGTCTAAAGATCCCAAAATCACATGTTTATGACGCTCTATATACGGCCCTGAAATCAGCTTGAATAAATATTTGTAGTCTGTTTTTTTTTTCATTTGTTTAAAAAAGAGTTATGCCCCTTGCTCAAGGTCGTTAGATGACAAGATGGCTGCCCTAACAAGGGTTTGTTCGAGAGTCTGCAAACAAAATGTTATTGTAAGAGCACTGTCAACGTCATCTAAAGTTTGTTCAGCAGAAGAGAATGTGGGCAAACAGACTCACACAGGACAGGTAAATTATAGCTGCTTATTTCTCGAAGTTTCCACAAAATCGTATTTGTAGTCATATTATATCGACTCAAAATAGTTCTCCAGTCATTAGCCATTAGGGCCTATGTGGTAGTAACAATCCAGGACTTTCCAAGTCTTCTAACACGGGAATTATATAGGCCTTAAAGCAGAAATGTGATTCTAGGGACATATGGCAAAACTGGTTCGACCAGGATTGATCCAATGTTTGATATATTTTTTCAGGTGTTTGATAAAGATGATTACAGACGAGTTCGGTTTGTTGGAAAAGATAAACTTGTAAGTGCTGCCATCACATAAATTTATTAACCATACCATTGAGGATGTGCTTTACAATTGTTGCTTTACGGCTTAAAAGGTTAGATGGTTAAAGCATTGAAAAACTATATGAATGAAATAAACTTAAGCACTACAGAAACAGATCTATTTATACTCAGGAGGTATAATATAATTTTGTTGCCCACTCTCTGTACCAGTATGTAACTTGTGTTTTCAGGTGAATCCACAATGGGCTATCAATTTAATAGCAGAAGACCCAATCGTAGTCTGTGATACCAACCATGTGTGGAGTGACTCTGGTGGACCCCTCGGACATCCCAAAGTTTACCTCAACCTAGTGAGTATAAAAGTAATTAGGTACCATGCAGGACCTCAGTGCAGACCTGTAGCTCTATGAAATGTGGACCATAGTCATTTCATACTCATAGTGGTTACCTATTTGCCTGAACTAGTACAAATGTGAACAATCTAATTATCTGATTATTTACCTCCCCTTATAAAAGGGAAGATAACCCTTGTCTATGTTGTTTATGTCAAAAGCGCCATTCAAGCAATAGAAGTTCTCATATCTTTATTTGAAGAGTTTTCCTTTAATACTGACTGGCACATACTGTTTGATAATGTGAATCAAATTTTACCTTCAACAACTGGATCTAGGCCGATTATTCTATTGGAAATTTTACAAACTGAAAGACTGGACTGAATCCATGTTACTATGAAATCAAATTAAGTAAATCTAAGTAAATTACAAGTTTTATAATTGTGTTTTTCAGGACCCTCCTGAGGTACAAGTATGTGGATATTCTGGTAGAAAATTTATACTGAAAAAATATTACGATAAAACCAAACATGGAGATAGCATAAGTTATGATGAATATTTAAAACAGGTTCGAGCTAAATACAGCAGTCAGAATAAAGTTTAGAAACGTTGAATGAACTTTAAATAGTTTGTGATTATTGGACATTATGGTCTTGAAAACAGTCTTTAGAAATTGAAAGTAAAATAAGGCTAAAGACTCCATATTATGGATAATATATATAAACATCAGGATATGTGATGTGTATAGAAAAAAATCAAGAGATGACAATCTTTGTGTCAAAGTTCAACTGAGATATTTTGTTGATGTATAATAAAACATGGATTATTATAAATATCTAAACTTTTTAATGATTGATATAACGCTAAACACCCACCCACAACCCCAACTTCACAGGCAATACGATTCATTTCTGAGGACATTGGCCTTTGTACCATGCATTGAAATTGTGGTGTCCATTGCAAAAAGCCCACAAGGTGCAGAAAACTGCAGAACTACATTCATTTCATTTCCTTTGCAAAAGTCTCTTACAATAGTCTACATCTTAAAACAAAGGTTTTAATTTTAAATTCTCCTTCTTCAATGTTGAACTATGATGATATTATTTTGCTCTGGCATGAATTTATCTGTTCCAATTATATTGTAATATTAGCCAGATTACTCTGTTTAGGTTATCACGTCCATAAGAATATGATGTCATAGGATAAGGGTAGAGCCAGATTTGTCTGACTAGGTGATGCAAACGAAAGCAGGGATACATTCCAGAATACATATTTGTATAGTAAGATACGCACATTCAAAATATGAACATGAATCAATTTAAGTTTTATGCAAAAATATTTTTGCTCGGTAACAAGAAGATATCCATTGATGGTACATAACTCTATTTTGACTGTACAATCTTAAGACCACTATTATTGTATCAAATGATTAATTGGCTATGTTCGTGCTATTGTATGGACTGGGTATGACCTATGAATGCTAACAATTTTCATAACACCAATACAAGACGTCGATTTAAAGTTGACTTTTCTTTACTGCAGGCCTGTATTCCATGTGATCCCTTGATTTACAAAGCTGTAAATGGTTATTGGCTTTGTTGTATTAACTGAAGAAAGGATCACACCCTTACAGAATGATGAAAGATGGAAACAACATTTTAATCCTAGTTTGTTTTTTTGGGGGAGCCTTATAGTCCATTTAAAGCCAAGATCACCCAAACTGTCAAAATTTTCGATATTTTGGCAGAATAAAGTTACAGGTCGATCAGTCAGTCAGTAATAATTGACTGATTATGTTAATTAGATCGGAGCTTATTCAGTTAATTAATGTTTTCTTTATCACTTAATCAAAACTAGAGCATATCTTTACTACGTGGTGCTCATTACAATCTTTCAAACAATCACGTCAATCAACAGAAATTCTATCATCCAATCAGAGCATTAAGTATATAAAATTCGGCAATTCAAATTTGAATCATTACAATTATTTTTCTACCTCACAAGCAGTAACAAGCGAAAACTTTCAGACATTGTAAACAACACAAAGGCAAATTTTAGCGAAAATAAATCCAAGTGATCGAAAATATAGCCGAGAAGCAGATAAGCGAAAATAAAGTCAAGTGCTAAAAAATAAAAAATGAGGAATTTTAGCATTGAATTTTTGACCAGTAAACCAACCGAGAAGAGTCCGGAATCAAGGAACCAGAAAATCGTCATGAACAACAGTTTGGACTCTTCATGGGAATCATCTTCGTCGACTAGTTCACCAGAGTCTTCACCATCTTCTGTTAACAAAAGGTTTAACTCTGATGCTTATATGGTGAATGGCATTCCGGGTATGAGTGCATATCTAACACAGAATTTTGCTCATATTCAACAGAATGCTGAAGTATTGGGATCAATTCCACTGAATGCAGGTGCGATACATTATGGTTCTTCAAACGAAACGACAAGACAGCAAGAAGTAGCCAATATGGCTGGAAAGGCGATAAGCCGTTCCAAACAAAACTCTTCAGAAATCTCCATGGTAAAAGAACCTTCTAAGACGAAACCATCTCATTCGTATATTGCCTTGATATCGATGGCTATCCTGGAATCCAGCGAGAAGAAGTTACTTCTCGGTGATATCTACGAGTACATTATGGAAAAATTCCCTTACTTCAATAACCAAGAAAAGGCATGGAGGAACAGCATTAGACATAATTTGTCGCTGAACGAATGCTTCATCAAGAATGGACGCTCTGACAACGGTAAAGGAAATTTTTGGTCCATACATCCGGCATGCCTGGAAGATTTCTCCAAAGGTGATTTTAGGCGTCGCCAAGCGAGAAGAAGGGCAAGACGAACCCTCCCCCAAATGCCAGCCAGAAATCCCGATATAGTGTATGGAACAATGGGATATGTTCCAATGGCATCGTCTACCTTACCGTTGAATTCTGCTGCACCACAACTTGGCGCTTACAAGCCACAAGTTCCTATGATGTCGTCGTCATTACCACAGATGACCAACCAAATACCACAAGTTTCGATGACGTCAAGGAACTTGCCCTCACCAACCAACGAGTCTCCAAAAGTTACAATGACGTCAGGGCACCTGTTTTCACCAACCAGTCTGTTGCCACAGATTTCAATGACGCCAGGAAACCAGCTACCACAGGTTTCAATGACGTCAGGGCACTTGCTTTCACCAACCAATCCAGGAGCAGCATATTTCTCGTACCCAAATAACATGAACTGCTTCATAAACCAAACATCTTTGGTGCCCAACCAATTTCAAAGTTGGTGAATAAAGATGCTGTAAGATGGTTGATAACAACATATCTACTGGACTTAATTGATGACAAGGCGGAATTCCTGAAAGTCTTAGATGATTGAACGATTCTCAGAAAGAGACACGAAACAAACAGGAACACAAAGAACTGGTGATGATGTGGGATTATGGTGGCATCGATGATCTGCGAACAGAGTTGATGTTAAAAAACCAACTGTAGGTATTTGTGCAAAAAAGGAATTGGAAGAAAAAGTGCTATGAATTGTATGTAACATATTTTGTATTTGAATAAAAAATTATGCACAAAACATAATCTGTTTCTGTGTGAAAATCCCCACCATAAATTCCTGTTTCCAAAAAGGTTGAGTTTCCTGTGAAATTAGGTGAAATAATTTCAATTAGTTTCAATCAATTTTGTCGTTTTACCGCTGCCGATTGTCCGGTGTTTTAAATGCCCTTTACGTCTTTATTTGCAGTTTCAAATTGCCAGATGTTTGAGATTCCCCCCCCCCCCTCCCCCCACTTTTATCATTATTTTACTATAGTTCCTTTGATAACAACCATACTGTTTTCTCCACAAAATAATCATATCATAAGAACACGACTTTAAGATGTAAATCATGTGATTTAAATTATTTTATAAAAGTTAAATTATTTTAATACCAGACCCACCCACGTTAACCACAAACATACACCTTAACTCTAGACTCTACTCGAATTACTTTTTATCAAAATAAAACACATTTTATGGTGGTTTCAAATATTTTGGCTGGATTTAAAACTCATTTCTTTTCGATTATCAAGTCTGATATGGAATTAACCGCTTTGGGAATGATGGAGAAACAGCCTGGATAATGTATCTTTATTTAGACTCATGTATGTATTTAGTTTCGGCGACTTGATCTATTTAACACGATCAGAAATGCCAAGGTAAATTCTCTACAAGTCACTTGTAAAGTAAATATGTTTGTTAGCATTATTAACTAGAAAGTCAGATTGCAGCTGGGGTTTTTGCTTCTTGTGTACAATTTTGTGCAAGGGGGAATACCTCGTCCCCTTTAAGCACAAGCTCGAATTTGTGAGAAAATTTCAGATGCCCCTAGCTTCAAAGATCACTGCATCTATTGCTTTAAAAGGCATTGATCACTGATCACAACCGTTCACGCATGGATCATTCCAAATAGGTGGCGATTATTTTTTGATAATAATTCAGCCAGACATTTGGGCATATTTGTTACAATGTCGGATAATACAGTCAGATAATTTGATATCCAACTGTTTCAAGGTTGTAGGAAGACAATTATTTGAATATTAGAGTCGTTTACGCATTGTTTCTAATTGTAGGTCGTTACGGATGCCTGTGGTGTAAAGTGATTATGTCTGTTACGCTGGAGTAATTTGTAAAGGAACAACGATTCGCCTAAACTCACTCTACCTAAAAGTTCAAATCAAAGGTATTTTAACCTTCATTGAACAACAGGTAAATATTAAAACATCGTCGCGGCATCAAAGTATCGTATTATTCCATATTTCTTGCAAAAGGTCTATCGTGAAAGTTCTACTTGCGCTCTGCAACATTTGAGGAAACCGTCGATAATTTCCGAATGTCGTTCTTGATATATTCGTCAAATTAATAGAAATAACGTTGAACGATTTTTTCTCGGCCATTGATGTACGACGATGATTGTATGGATCGTTTTCACAGTATCAATCTATTGACTTTTGCCGATCATCTGATAATGACTTATAGCCAGTTTTCATTCGATAATCGATTTAAGCAGCCTCATCCTTTAGGCTCGATGTTTAAATCGTTTGTCTCACGGAACTGCAGGGACGTAACTTCAAGAAATATTTACCAAAAAAACAAATTGATGAAAATATATATGATATGAGTTCTACCGAAAAGGAGGTTAACTTAAACGGGCCCAAGACCTTTTTCAATCTAGTTACATCCATTGATCTGTTGATAAAGGTAACCCCGATACCTTGGACTGTGAAGATGGATGGTTGAGGTCTAGAGATGTTTAAGACTGTGAATATATTTAACAGTATAACAACACGTTTTCAAACTAAATACTGTGGTTTGTGGTGTAGAATACAAGATAAATATAGAAGTTTTTCTAATTTATTTCGTTCAATATCTAACCACTATTGAATGATACATTTAACAGTCACTAGTGAAGTTTGATTGAGAACTTGTGTTTACCAACTCAGCAATTTGATTCTATAGTAATATAGTCATTGTTCCTATTCCAGTTATTTTATAAATGTATTGTGGAAATACAGTACAGTAACAGTACATTGATATATATCAGTTACTATTGCCTACAGAACACTGATATCAAGTTATACAATCCAAATTAGAAATCTGTACAGCCCTCGATAGTATCGAGATTGAATCTTTCTGATATTCTTACCTAGACTCTGGTAGGTATGTTGATGCACATCCAAACCTGGGTTAAAACCTAGAGAATGATCCACGATTGCACTTTTGTCAACCTAAAGTAACAACAGGCATCATCTTGTTTGGAGCTATACTTGGTCCAATTTTGTATTATTGTCTTCATCTTGCCCTGTGTTTTATTCCAGAGATTGCTTCAGTGCTATACTATTGGCTGCTTATAGAAACACCTAATTCAGGGTTATATTCCAGAGGGAAGCCCATTGTCTGCTTATAGAAATACTAGATATGACCAAACTCTGGGTATTCCCGAGAGTGATTCACTGATTTACTATTGTCTGTATAAGTACACAAGACAACATGATCTTACCCTGTGTTAGGTTCTACGGTGTAGTCCTCAGTATTGTCTGCATATAGTAACAACAGACATTCCTGGTCTGGTTTAGAGCTTGGCCCAATGTTGTATTAGTGTCTGTTTTTACCGTTTAACACCAAACATCAACTTACTCTGTGTCTTATTCCAGTCCAGTGTTGTACCATTGTCTTCACAAAACACAAGACATCACCATACCCTATGGGCGGTCAAATGACGCCCTTGCCGGCCTAAGGACTTGGTCATTTATGGCATGCTGTATATGTAACACATGTCAATTCCTTGTGATTGTGATGGATTTTCGAGCTTTAAGTTAATATCTAGAAAACGGGAACAATGTTATTAGCCGATAAGAGAAATTAATTCCTAGCCGATTGTCTACATTAATTAATTATTGTAATGTTCTATAATTGACTTATTTCCTCGTTAACTGCTATGTTACTCTACATTTGATCTTGCTAATGGGCAATAACTTGATAAACCAAGTCATACAGTGGCTTCAGGTGTTCCAAAAGGGCGATACAGTTATTACTTCAGTGTATATTGTATTAATGACGTCATACTATCTATATTAGCAACTACACGCAAGCTCAATAACGCCTTGCGTCTGACTCAACGGTGGACAAATTTCGAGACCGAATTCAAAATGCGGCAACTCTGTAGAGGCCAAGCCTCTCATGGAGCATGCGAGATGTTTCTATCAATAACATTTCGAAAAATTGAATTGATTTCGTGCCTTCTGACACATATTTTGGGGCAAAAACGTATACAAATCATATTTCTACATTTGTGAAACATAAAGTGGGGGTACAATTGGTGGTGCAGACCATTTTTCTATGGGGGAAATGTCCCCTTGTTCCCCCCACTGGCGCCGCCATTGCGGACTGTAACTCGAAAAAGTGGTAAAGATAGCTGAAAATGAGCTCTATTTGCTAGTATAACTGATGTGTAAATAATTGCATCCCCTTAAGCACGACAGTGGAAGTAAATCTACAGTATAGTCCAGACTATTTCATAAGGGGCGTAAAACTCAATTTGCCTCCAAAAGAATGACCAAGGATATAGGTTTTAATGCGTTTGAGAGTAAACCATGACGGATTAAGGAAACTCGTTTCAACCCATTTCATTGTGAATGACGAGGAACATCCCAACGCATAACGCAGGTTGGCCCTAGAGTTACTAATATAAAGAATTACATTAGGATGTAAAACTATTCAGTAAATACAAAATAAAGATGTATGAAATCTAAATTTAGAAGCCTTTCCGTTGATAATCGTATTCAATGAGAAGTTTTTCACGAGTACAGTTCAAGTGTGAATCTACAGTTGTTAGAAAATTGTGTTATTCGCTGAGTGAAAGGATATTTTTGTGTAAGAAAACTTAGTATTTTGGAGTATTTTGTACAGTTGTGTTGTGTTATCTGTTGGTTGAGGGATATTTTGCATAGTGTTATAGACTGGTTTTTGGTGAGTACAGTTTTTTTGTGAGCAGAAAATTCTGTTTTTGTCAGTGGCATTATACCTTGATTTTTGATTAACGGATTGAACTTATGTATTGCTGTTAAATTGAATCCGCTGAATTACTAACGGTGCGTTTTTACCAGTGACATCGGACTTGATTAGCAGTTATAAAAGTATACTGTACTTTACTGACTGACTGACTATGTTTATACTGATGCATTGCTTATTGTTATATTTCTAGATAAAGTTATACGAAGTTATTTTTGGATACATGTATATAACCAGTGCATACTCAAGGAATTCCCCACATTGTTAATGTCCAGGAACAGCCGTGATATCA